ATCTAGAGAAGTGTTTTTCAAACTGTGGGTCAGGATGCATTAAGGAGTCATCAAGTTAGCAATGAGCTTTGCTTTTTTTTTTTTTAATTTAATAAAGAATAGAATATCACACAGAGCAAATATCGTTATACTCAATGTGCGTGGGCTGGTGCTGATGGTATTTGTGTATATACATCAAAAGACGAAAGTAGGGATCCCTGGGTGGCGCAGCGGTTTGGCGCCTGCCTTTGGCCCAGGGCGCGATCCTGGAGACCCGGGATGGAATCCCACGTCGGGCTCCCGGTGCATGGAGCCTGCTTCTCCCTCTGCCTGTGTCTCTGCCTCTCTCCCTCTCTCTCTCTCTCTCTCTCTCTCTGTATGACTATCATAAATAAATAATAATAAAAAAGACGAAAGTAAATGTATTTCCTATTATGAATGATATGGATTAATAGGATAAATTTATTTTCTATTCAATGTTCTTCCTAAATAAGATGAACAGGCACTGACATAGAGTAAGTCACTTAATCTCTATGAAGTTCCTTCCATATCCCTTAAATGGAACTTATTGTTCCATTTCAGAGAGTATACCAAAATAAAACAACTTCACAATGTTTTTTCCAACTGTAAAACATGTATCAATATGTTATGGTTACAGTATCTTGGTTGGATTTCCTTAGAGTATGTTTCCCTGTCATATATGCTCACAGCATAAAATCACTATGCTAGAAATTTGGACATCCTGAATCAAAGATAATTCTGAAAATACAGTCTCCTAAGAGTAGAGCTGGAGACAGGAAAGCCTAAAGCTTCTCACAATTTGTATAATCTCCTTCACAGTGCCTATCATACTGCCTCTGGAGTGGGGAGGGGAGGAACTAAAGAGGAAAGGCAGCATAGCATCTCTGTGTTTCTAGGGCCTCGTGAAAGAATCCTCACTTAGTAGAACGGCCAAAAGAGGGAAACATGTTTATAGGCTATTCCCACAGGAGGCCAGCTCAAGAACCTCAGCTGCCATCCTGCTGTCTGCACAGCCCTTCACTGGTACTTGGCCTAGAGATACAAATCATCCTCTTTGCTTCCCATTTAAAGTGTACAATCGGTGCCAGGCTCTAAATGCCACAATTTCAGGCAGCACATCATTATTTATCTATACATGTTATCTGGACACATCATGGTACCACAAATAGGAAACATTTTAAGACACTAGTAGCTAAGAAACTGACAGCAGCTAAGAGGACAGGTACACTCGCTCGTAACACTCCCACACAAGCTACCATTAAAGCACGCTTTTTTAAAGGAAAAGATATCCTAAAGATCCTGTATAACAAGAGAAGGTACCTCTTCCCCTAAAATAAAGGAAGCTTTAGTAGGAATGGGATTCCTACTTGAATGAGTTCAGACCACTTCAAGAGAAATGCAGGACAGGAATAGTTTTGAGGACTCAGTGATACAAGTACTAAATACTTCATTTTTAAAATGACAGTTGTAACCTTCAGATCAGCTTGTTCTGAGTTTTATTTCTTGTCAGGCTCATGAATTTTTTGCACTTATCAATCCAGCACGTAATCTTCCTCCAAGCTTAACCAGGCTCACACATGTTAAACATCTGGCTGGGGTTGAGAGTTGCAGTTTGCAGCTCAGTAAGACACGCTGGCTCACCTGGGAAACTGGTGCATAAATGGATACTGAACAAATAAATACAGAAATGTATCAAAAAAAAAAGAAATGTATCTGCAATGGTCATAAAGTAACTTTCTCTGTGATGAATCCCCAACCCTTTATGGGAGGGGAAGGGAGGTATGGCTGATGAGAGCACGCAGGAACCAGAGTGATCATAAGGAAATTTGTGAGGAGGCTATCAAGAAAGCTTTGGTCACTGCCCATGGAGTTCCTACTAGAGACAGAGTATCAAACAGATTGAAAAATGAACTCTCACCTGGGTTCTGGCAGTCCGCCAGCTCACTTTTGCTTACCTTTGATCTTAGTTAAAAACCATATGGGATGTGTCACAACAAAAGTCTCTTCTTATAACAATCTCTACACCATGGAGATATTTTTCTAACCAAAGGACACATTTGTTTGGAAGAGCTCTCAAGAATTTATACTGGGAAGGACCTTGGATACCATTTGTCTAAAAGACTGGTACTCAGAAAGGCTAAGTGAATTACCTAAGGTCACACAGCTGGCAGCTGTGTCTAGCCTAGGACCAAGAGCTAACCAGAATTTCCCAAGATAAAATATGTCTATCATTGTGCCTACTAATATATTTTTAAAGAGACAAGGTCCCCTATCCCTCAGGACTACAGCTTTATCACTATGCGTTCTAATTCTCTAGAACCAGAACACTTAGGGTTATAAGTACCCATTGTTTTTAAGACCATCCATCAATTGGACGGAGAAGAGAGCGCCCACATGTCAGATTTGAAAAGGTATTGCTATCTCTGATACATCTTAGTACAGGTATGAAATTTAAGTAAGTTTATCCATATTAACAATGTTGTTTCAAATTGAAACGTGTGTATATATAGACACATATATATAAATAAAAACACATAATCACCTCATGTATAATCGATGGTGGGTAAGAAGTATCACTGGAAAAATATACAATTTGCACTAAAACTTGTTATTCCAAGTTACAAAGACTAATTTATTTCGAAGAATGAGGAAGTGAATTACTACTACACCCGATAACAACCAAACATTTTTGCCCATAAAGTATCTCTTCTTCAGTATTTATGAAAACTAGATGAGAAAAGCACATGTACCGACCAAGGTTAAAAAAAAAAAAAATCAACTTGCAAGTATAGACAGCTACAAATAGTGCTCTCCATGGTGAGAAATGAAGTCCACACTTAAGTATCCTAGCAAAATTTTCACCACACACACACACAAATGCACACGCCTAACAGATGGATTCTAAAAAATAACTAAGCATTCCATAAGCCAAATGCTCAAAAATTAATAATAAAAGATTAACATCCCTGTATGTGTGATAGTGTATAAATAAGCAGACCCTTCTGTCCTCATCTCAACCTCCTTTTCCCAATGCTGTACTCACCCTTCCACCTCCCTCTACTCTGCAACCAGATCATAACCACCCAAAAGCAAGGTGTCTGCTGCAGCCCAAAACACTTGACCGATAATATCCGGTTTGCCATTCCAGGAAATCCCAGAGTGTGTTTTAAGCCTCTGCCCAAGGCTTATAAAGAAAGGCGAGAGAAAAACTAATCAATACCAGCACCCAGCTGTGACCTGGCACGTAAAGGAATCAAGAAAATAAATCCCATCCATAATCTGTATAATTTAACACTTGGAAGAAAGCAACATCTGGGATCGACTCCAAGCGGGACAGTGTTGCTGGATGGATCTGTGCCTCTTGCACTGAGTGTTAAACCCAGTGAGTGACCGACCGGGGGCGGGGGGACGCTCCAGTTCCTCACCATTTTAGCAAAGGCAATATAGTTTCCTAGTAAGGGTTAATCCGCTCCAAAAGGAGGTTGAGGGGGTGGTATCAGAAGGAAAATAATAACCACCAACATCTACTCTTTGCCAGTATAGTGCCTGGCAAAGCCACACACACACACACACACACACACACAGTTTAAAGAGAGGGAAAGCTGGAACCCCTTCCCAAAGGTGGATCTAGGGCAAACTATTGTCTTTCAGAACGGTGACAATCAGAATGAAAGCTAATGAAAATATGGGAATGACTGGATCATCCTACGGTCCTTTCAGGGGACTGCAAAGTCCTATCCCCATGCGAAGTTAAAAAAGAAAAAAAAAAAGAAAACCCCCTATGACTCTGATTCCCTGGAAAGCCTTTCCAGATTTTTTAAATAACAGGCAAATTAATTTAGACCATAAGCAGATACCTATACATTGTCTAAATCACTAGCTCTGGACCCAATTTTTTTTTCCTTTCTTTTTAAAAAGTACACCAATCAGCAGGACCCGGCATCACAGGAAATAAAGATCGTTGGTAAAATCCAAAATGCTTTCGCCCTGTTAAACCTTCCGAGGGGTTATAATTGCATTTGGCCGCTGCAGGCTTGTCAGAAGAGCCTGGCTTCTTAATAGCCACAACCCTAAAAGGAGTTAACTGTCAAGGGGGGGGAGGGGGGGACCCAGCTGAAATCAAACAACAAAAACGGGAACTGTAATCAGCCTGAACGGGAGGAGGGAAAGGCAGGGAGACTCCTGTATTCATCAGTCAACATTAATGTCCTTTGTTGTTCACCTTTGCACAGAACAGCGAGCGCTACCCCGCTCCGCGTCCCCGAACCCCAGGGTCGGAGCGCTCCCTTCCCGAGCGCGGCGCCCTGGCCCCGAGGACCCAGGCTTTCCGAGCTCGCCCTCCCCATCCCCACCCCACAGCTGTCCTCCGCCGGCCCCCAGCGCGCTCACCCCGGGCCGGGAGTAAAAACGCTGCTGAGATGCCCGTTCCCCTTGCAAAGCCCAAAGGGGCGCAGATGCTGAAATGTACCGAGCCCCCCCCCCCCCAGCCCAGGATGGGAGCGGGGAAGGAAGCTGGGCTCAGGCTCGGGGGCGAGGACCGAGCCACATCCCGGGGGCAAGGCTCTGCGCCCCCCTTCTGTTTTGGGGGTGTTCGCTCCGCGCGGTAGTTGCTGTCTCCCCCTCCCGCCCGCCCCGGGGAATCGGCGCGGCCCCCTGCCCCTCTGCGGGGAAGAAGGCGAAGGAGGGAGAGGGGAACGCCGCTCGCCCTCCTCTTGCAACTTGACTCACGCGCGCCCCGTCGCCGCTCCAAACTCCGCAGCGGGAGGGCTGGCCGCGCGCCTCCCCGGCCGTCCCGGCGCTCGCGCTCCCGAGCGGGTCGGGCGAGCCCCCGGCGCACGCCCCTCTGCCCGGAGCCAGCTCGCCACAGCCCCAAGCCCGCAGCGCGACGCCACGATCGGGCGTTCGCAGCCCCGCGGAGCGACGGGGGCGCAGGGGCAAGGACGCGCAATGCGCACCGGCTCGGGCCGGCGCGGAATAAAGTTCGCCCCGCCGAGACTCACCCACGCCGTATTTCTCGTGCTCCGTAGGTATCCACATGGCTGACGGCGGCTCCGGGGTCTTCGGGCTTTGTAAATCCCCGCGCCTGCCCCGGCTCGCAACAATGCACCGCTCGCGAGTAGCGGCTGCAACGCTGGAGCCCGGCGGCCCCGCGCGAGAGCTGCGGGCGCTGGGCAAGGTCTGCGCTGGAAGCGCCCGAGCCCGGCGTTGACACCGCGCGGCTGAGGCTGCGCCGCCCGCCGCTCTCCCCGGCGGCGGCTGCTCACAGTCCTCCGACGCGCTCCCGGGGACCCGGCGGCGCAGTCATTGTTCTGATTCACTGAACTAAGCTACACGCCAGGATACTCTCCGGCGCACCCCACCCCCCCCCCCCCGCTTCCCCCCGCCCGCCAGCGCCTCTTCCAGCCCTCCCCGTCCCGGAGCCCCCCGCTGCACGCTGGGAATTGTAGTTCTGCGCCTCTCCATCCCGGAAGGGGGCGTGGTGCTGGCGGCCGGGGGCGGGGACAAGGCTGCGCTCTCCGCGTCCTATTGGTCCAGGACGCGACGGGGAGGCGTGGACGTCGAGGAAACCCCGCGTTGATGGGGAGTTCGCCTCCAGGCGCGTTCCCATTGGTTGCGAGGCCTCCGGGCGCTGCCCGCCCTTTTCTCCGCGGCCGCGTAATGGCTGCTCCCGAGACCCGGGGGGCTGCTGCCCGAGGGGAGGAGGACTGCGAGGGCAACCGTGGCGAAGCCGGGGGTGTCCGTTATGAGGGTGAGTACGGCGCCTCCGAAGCGCAAGAGGCTGGTCCCGCTTTCTCTCCCAGCAGGCGTGAGGCCCCCGGGGCGCGACGGGGCCCCGGGCCGGGCCCAGCCCGACGGGAGGCGGGAGCCGAGGGACGGTGGGATGGAACCGGGACACTCCGCAGCCGGGGAGGCTCCCTGAGCGTCTGCCTTCGGTTCGGAGCTGCCGGCTTCGCGCCCGCTGCCCGGTGGGCGTGTGTCGGGTCACGTTGGCGCCGGTGTGGCGGTCGCTCCGGGATTCGCGGCGCGCCCCTCGCGGTTCCCCGCCGCCGCCGCCGCCGCCGCCGCCGCCGCCGGTGGCCTCGGCCGAGGTAGGTCTCCCCTGTGCGCGGGAGGATTTCCTGCTGCAGACCGGGCGCTCCCCTGCGCTCCGCGCATCCGCTCGGTGGGAGCTGGAGCGGCCTCCGAGGGGACAGACTGTGTGCGGCGCGCAGAGCCCCGGGGGCGATCGCCTGCGCTCGGGCTGAGTCCTCAGGCACTGCCCGCAGAGCAGGTGGAGGATTGGAAGGCGGTTCTGAAAACCGTCACTACGACCTTAGCTCCACTTGTCTTTTAAATTGCCTTCTGATCCGCCGGAGGGATCGGAAAGCAAACTTTGGAAGCCGCCAGCCGATTGTCTTGAGGATGCCTCGAGGCCCTTGTTCTTTTTCCCTTTAGTGCACCCGTCCTTGCCCGCCTCTCTTTCTTTTTTGTCTTTTTTTTTTTAAGATTTTATTATTTATTTATTATTTATTCATGATAGACATAGAGAGAGAGAGAGAGACAGGCAGAGGGAGAAGCAGGCTCCATGCACCGGGAGCCTGACGTGGGATTTGATCCCGGGTCTCCAGGATCGCGCCCTGGGCCAAAGGCAGGCGCCAAACCGCTGCGCCACCCAGGGATCCCCTCTTTTTGGTCTTTTGATGTGTCTAATCTAGCCCAAGTTGTCTTTCTCTTCTCTTGGACATGGTTTGGGGCTTTAAGGTTCTCTGCCCTCGTTTGAGATTTTTTTTTGGGGGGTGGGGTGGGGGGAATGGCTTTTTTGTTTTCACAATTAAATTGACATTTAGTCTTGGGTTTTTCATCTCAGCAGCAGCCCAGAGATAAACTGCAGTTTCTTCCCACTGCCCATCAGTGGAACTACCTACTTTTGAAATTATTTTAATATCTGTACCATTGGTAGGCTCTCCACTTTTTTTTTTTTTTAAGATTTTATTTATTTATTCATGATAGACAGAGAGAGAGAGAGAGGCAGAGACACAGGAGGAGGGAGAAGCAGGCTCCATGCACCGGGAGCCCGACGTGGCACTCGATCCCGGGACTCCAGGATCGCGCCCTGGGCCAAAGGCAGGTGCTGAACCCCTGAGCCACCCAGGGATCCCCGGGCTCTCAACTTTTTTTTTTTTTTTTTTAAGATTTTATTTATTTTTTTCATGAGAAACACAGAGGGAGAGGCAGAGACACAGGCAGAGGGAGAAGCAGGCTCCACAGAAGCAGGCTTCACACAGGGAGCCTGATGTGGGACTCGATCCTGGGACTCTAGGATCACACGCTGAGCCAAAGACAGATGCTTAACCACTGAGCCACCCAGGCATCCCAGCTCTCAACTTTATATAGTTGTAACCACGCCCTAAGCAGTTCATTTAGGGGGTGGGGGGCTCCTACCTGATGGTAAGATACTAAGGTTTTCCAGATTCTCAGAGTTCCAGAGGGCTGCCTTTTTAACATTTAGAGATGAAATGTTTGACGGGTTTATCTCATAGAGTAACTCCTAAAAACGAAAATTGGGAACTCCTTTCCAAAACGTTGTGGAACTTTTAAATATCTTTAGTTACTATAAAAGTTTTTTTTTTTTATGTAAGTTTTCATTATGAATATTTGAAGCCCAGTGGGTATAAGTTAAATGAAAGTTCCTCCACACAGTTTACTCCCACAATAACAACAGTTAAAAGCTCATTGTGTGTTCTTTCTCACGTATTCCTACATGATCGCACATCTATATTGTTCTGATTTTGAAAAATAAAAAAGGACCATTTTCTGGATGCCCTGGTGGCTCAGCGGTTGAGCATCTGCCTTCAACTCAGGGCGTGATCCTGGAGACCCAGGATTGGGTCCCACATCAGGCTCCCTGCATGGAGCCTGCTTCTCCCTCTGCCTGTGTCTCTGCCTCTCTCTCTCTCTCTCTCTCTCTCTCTCTCTCCCCTCTCTCTGTCTCTCATGGATAAATAAATAAAATCTTAAAAAAAAAAAAAAAAGACCATTCTACGTAAGCTGGAAGATCCACAACCTCCTTTTCCCAATGATCTATTATATACACTCTTCCATGTTCGTATGTTTGTTGCTTCATTTTTTTAAAGGACTGTGCCAATTGTTTTCCATAATATGAATTTGCCATATTCACCATTCCTCTGTTAATGAAAGTGCAGTGTGGCTTAGTGAGCAACTTTATATACATATCCTTCCCCTCTCTGTGTGTATTTCTTGAGGAATTGCTGGGTCAAAGGTAACACAAGTTTGAAATTTCAATAGATGTCAGATGTTCCCTTTGAAAGATGACAGCACACAATCCTATCAGTAATATAGGAGTGTCCTTTTCCCATGTGCTTACTTCAAGGAAATCATTAATCAAGGACCGATGTTTAAGTTACTATTGGATTAAATTGAGTAACTGCTATAAAGCTTAATTTTATGTTCCAATTTGTTTTCAACAAAAGTACTGAGCAGCAGTGAATTTGAAGTATCTGTAACCAAAAAAATTCCTCACCCTGGCTTACAGCTGACAAGTGTTCTTACTAATTTGTGGCAGTCATTTGGAGAGCTAATGGTTGAATTTTATGTCATTCTTAGAAGGTAAGGTTGTCATTAAAAATCCCCTTAATAAATTTTGTATCATTCTATAATTTTATCCAGATTCTTTTCTTTTTTCTTTCTTTTTTTTTCAAAAAAAGATTCTATTTATTTATTCATGAGACACAGAGAGAGAGGCAAAGACCTAGGCAGAGGGAGAAGCAGGCTCCTTGCAGGGAGCCTGATGTGAGACTCCATCCCCAGACTGAGATAAAGCCCTGAGCCAAAGGCAGATGCTCAGCCGCTGAGCCACTCAGCATCCCTATCCAGATTCTTTTCAAAGCCTGCAGAGTATGATACAAATTTTGGGTGGAAATAATGATACTAAAAGTATATTCATATTTTTTTGTTAAGCGGTTATTTAGGCCCTCGGGAATCATTTATTTCTTGAAAACTCTCTTTTTTTTTTAAGAGGTTTCACTCTATAGTCTAATTAAAATATCAATCTGTGTGCTTAATATCCCGGGACTGAAGATTTCTACTACAATGTCACTGAGTGGTGTGCAGGCAAGTACAGCACCTTACCTGAGATCTATGCTTCCAGACTTCCTCAGGCTCCATCCTTCTCCAGAAAAATCCCTGATCTTGCACAACACTGCTTTGCATACATGTGAACTATAACTGGGATTTCATATTATCCTCTGAAATTAAGAACAGATAGTAAATAGACTCTAATTTCTCATACTTGGGATGTATTATTTGTATTTTTTTCTTTTGCTGTTTTTAGTTAGAGGCAGTAAGATAACACCTATAGTTTATTAACTGACAGTATTACTTACAGGAAATTCTTCTGATGAAAGTGATTTTTTTTTTTTCTGACAGAATTAACCTTTGTATCCGTATTGTAGTATTCTGACAGAGTTCACGTTTTTCCCTGCACATGGATGGTCAGTAGATGATAATTATAGGAATGCTACTTTGGATTTATAGTGTACTTCCTCTGGAGACCTTATTAACTAATTTGTGATGTCTCTAGAAAGAATGGGAGTAGCAGGTGGTGTCAACTCATTCTTATGTTTATTCTTATTTCAATAAATAGCAACACATCTTAGTTAGAAACCTAGGAAGCATCCTTGATTTCTATCTTGACTTCACGTCCTGAATCTGATCAGTTACTGTCTTATTTTTCTGTGCCTGAAATAATCTTTTGAATTTGTTGTTCTCTTCTTCTCTTTAGCCACTATTCTATTTCTAACCCTCACCGTTGCTGAGAATTACCTGTGTCCCCCACCCTCCAAACTGTGTTCTTAGGGGCCAGAACTTTGACATGTTTGGTTTTGTCTGTCCAACTCTGTCTTGGCACTTTGTCAGTGTTTAATCATTGTTTAACTAGCAATGAATTCTAGCCTGGGTGATTGCAAAATCTTCCTAGTGATCTCTCTGACTCTCGATTTTTCTCTCCTTTAGTCCATATTCCAAAATGCAGATGTGTTCATTGGTCCTCACTTCAAATTTTCAGTGTGATTTCTGATGCTTGTATAATGAGGTCTAAATTCTCCACATGGCTCTAAGGATTCAAATCTGCTTTTCCAGCCTCATCTTCAGTCATCCTGCTTTCCTCCCCATATCTCCATTATCACACTTGCCATATAAAACTGTAGTTATTTATTGGCAACTTTGTCTACCCCAGTAGACTGTGAACTTCTTGAGGGCAAGAGTTGTCTTATTTTACTTTTATACATCCAGTGCTGATCATGAAGTAAACACTCCAACCGTTCAATGGTTAGAATCTGTTTGAAATTTATTCAAAGTACTTAAATGGCTGCTACTTTACACTAGAAATTGAAACCAAATAAAAAACTGAGTATATGTTTCATGCTTGTGAAAGTTATACACACCAACTAGAAAATGCAGATTATGTTATGAAGATGATGTTCTGTCACAGGTAATCATAGTTAACATTTTCACATAGTCTTTTTTAAGTTAGTGTTGTATAGATAATGAATGATTTAAAAAAAAAAATTCCCGGGACACCTGGGTGGCTCAGTGGTTGAACATCTCCCTTTGGCTCAGGGTGTGATCCCAGAGTCCCAGGATCGAGTCCCACATCGGGCTTCCTGCATGGGGCTCTGCCTATGTTTCTGCCTCTGTGTCTCTCATGAATAAATGAATAAAATCTTAAAAAAAAAAAATTCCCATCTGTCC